GGGAGGGGGGAGGAGTATTACATCTCCAAAATCTAGTGGAGAACCTCCTTCTATAATGGTAGTTACCATAATTTTGAAAATATTGGTCATTGTTAGATCATGCGTGGTGAGCTAATGATTTTTTTTTTTTTTGGTATCAAAGAATTCAAGATTGAATAAAGGATTGGAGTATTTGATTTATAATTTTTCAAATATAAGCATAAGAGTTGAGTTATAAAACATGATGTAGAAGAGAAGGTGATATAATGGAGTATAAGGCTACCTGCAACTAGTTTTTGATCAATAAGCATCCAATGTTGATATTTTAGGTTGAATATCAGATTCTCATTATTAGAGGTAATTTATTGAGTTGGACAAATAGTAGATGTATTTATTTATCATTCAAATCCATTTGCACTAAATATTTTGAGGATTTAACATCTCCAGCTTAGATGATTTTCAACAGAGGGTTGATTTTGAATGATGCTTTTGATGTTATACAACATAAACTTGAGAAAAAAAAAGAATTAAGGAGATTATAATATGAGATAATTTCTCACAAATATTGGTAATGGAAGTGGTTGATTGCTTTGTGATGCTTTGATTATGTAATAAGAAGATGTTGTGTAGTAGGTTATCAAATTTGCCGTATAATTTGTGTTGTGAGACAAAAAATTCTTTGATACAATGTTGAGTCATAATTAAATATAAATTATTTTTCACTCTCTTTTTTGTCTTATTTTCTAAAGTATGAATTAATAATAAACTAAATTTTAGGTAAGAATGATATAACCTACGCATTTTGTATTGACTTGAATCTATTGCGTTAAAAGTGGTGATAACTGTTTTCTTAAAACTATCCCTAATCAATCTAACATGTTTCTCTAAAAATAGGAACAAATGCTTAAATAATAAAGTATGAGATTTGGCATCAACAATGGAAGTTCCATTTACAAAATTCATGCCATATGCCTAAAGTCTGGATAGACGGATTTAACATTGGAATTTTTCCTACTCGGTGAAACGCATATGCAGTGTCCTATGAAACTTTTAGGATGCTTACAAACCCTATAAGGGTTTAGGGATCATGACTCACTCATATTCGATCCTCTGGGGTCCCATGAGGCTCAAAACTCCCTTGACGAGCTTCTCTAGAAGCCCAAGTTATGAGGGTCCAGCGTGACAATGCCAAATTCAGTCGTGACCACTCCTAAATTGAGTGTGGCCATGCTAAGGCCTCTCAATAGGCCCAAAAGTCTTACTTCCGACATGACTATGATCGAAGATGGTGTGACCAAGCCGACCATATAGATACTTCAATGTAATTATGTCGGGGTGGGGGCATGACCACGTCCAAATCACGAGAGGTGCCCGAGACCCCAACTGGCGTGACCACATTGACCAAATAGAGAGTTGTCATAATTATGCCGACTCCGACATGGCCACATCAACTCTCGAATTGCGATGATTGCTACAGTGGGGTGAACATGCCCAAGCCTAGCACGCCAGTTCAACCTATTTTGTGAATTTTGCCCTCCGGTCCCCAGATTTCCGCCGACAGAGAGGCCAGAATCGATGGTCCATGCTCTATTACCTGGTTCCTACCCAAATAGGTAATTTGTATTAATTTGGGCCCATTCCAAATTAGGAAAGGGGTTTGAGACCCTTGAACACTCTCCCAAAAGTAAAATAAACAAGGGGGAAGGGGTCATTTCGATGGATCAGCTACCATTGTTAGAGAAGAGCTGAGTAGGAGCAAGGGAGAGCTTTGGAAGGAGCTTTCTAGGAGATTCTTGAGGGATTCTTCATATACCTCAAGGAGAATCCAAGGGAAGCCATTTTCCTTCTTCTTCTTCATCTCTTCCTTCATCTCTACAATCTTTTTCCTTCTTTCCGGTGACTTCCCGTGGGTTGAGCTTTGGAAAGCTTCTTCCTAGCTTTGAAGAAGAAGAAGAACTACGGTGATCTCCTCATCCACACTCTCTGATGAGGAGAGCTTCCTCACTTCTTTGGATAAGGAGAAACTTCAGCAAGCCTTACATTCTCTCCGACGAGGAGAGCTTCCTCATCACTTGAAGGAAGGAATCCAGCTATTTTCGTCCGTTTTTTCTCTTTTTTTATTTTTGAAAGATTCGTCAGCTTGTCAATCATCGTATACTTCACTTCTTAGAATAAATCTCTCTTCCAGGTTATATGAATGGTCAGGAGAAGAGAGGAACCAAAAAATACAAGCATATGATAAAGAAGACAGACAAGAGAAAGAAATAAAACGTTCTTTTGGTTATCTAGTTACTTTGGTAGCTTATGTAGGTATTCTTTTCGTGGATATCTGGTTTAAAGTATTTCGATCCGATCTTGTTTGGATATACACTTGACATATCGCACGAGGTTTACCTCATATAAGCTCCCCAGGTTCTTTTCTATTTGTCTGTCTAATCTCATTTAAACTATTTCTTTGTTGACACATCCGCTACTCTGAATTATTTATAAGATTCAAGTAAGAGGATCCGCTAGAAAAATGAATCCTAAGACAATAATTAGATATGCTGGAGACTCCAAGTTACAAAAAAAACTGAAACACCATTAATATAATTCTTGGAGCTAGCATAGAGCCTCTGAAAAAAATCTATCATTATGGTCAAAAGTGCATGTAATACGAGAACCCACATTTATTTTTATAAGGTAAGCTCTGAGTGCATGAAACTGCTTGTAATTTTCATCTACTAATTCAAATATGACTTTCTAAGATGACGCTTTTGAGCATCAAAACTTTACATAGAACAATGATAGTTTGTAGGTCATTTTTAATTTGTTGTCAATTTATTTGGAGGGACAATTGGATGCGCCTTACCCATATCTTAAATTTCATTAATTGCCCAAACATATCTAGCTAGCCTATTTTTCAGCTTTATTGACGCATAAGCTAAGTTTGTCCCATTCACTTTTCTTACTTTTAAAGTTTGGCCATCTATACACAATGATGTTAGTACTATTCTTGAACATATACAATAAGAACAAGTGACCTCATTTTCTGTCAACTTCTTTAATCTCAACTCTAAAAGTATTCTAATTATCTTGGGAACACAAAGTAATGTGAAGTAAAATTGGGACCTTTTTCATGATTAAATTTGTGTTTTATTGATTAATTATGAGGATTTTATTTTTGATAAATATATTTTACTGTATTTTATTGAAAACAAATGTGGAGCGCACTTTGAGGAGCAAAATGATACAATTTGGCCAAGTGACCATTGACACACTCACGCCCAGAAGAGGCGTGCCTATGCCACCTGTACAGTTTGATGGAACAAAGGAAGAGTTAGCAAGGCGACCCACGCTCATGATCCAAACGCTCGCACCTGAACCTAGCGTGCCCACACCAATATTCTGAGAGCGTGATATGCCTGCGCCAGCCTGCTACACATGTTGCCCGATTATGCAAATTGATAAAATTGGAATGATATATTGTCAAAAAAATGTGCCCTAAGTATATAAGTTATTGTATTGAAGTCTATATTTTACTCTTAGCTAATGGAGGAGGTTCTCGTAGGTCTAAGGAGAGTCTTGTAAACCCTAGGTTCTTCTTTTTTGGTTCTCCCTTGGAGAAGAGTTTTAGGGTGTTTTACTTCGAAAGTTTTTTAGAGGATTGTGATATAAATATTGGGTACCATTACACAAGGGAGTTGCATTTTATAGAGAGGAATCTAGTGTTTTGCGATGAACAATTGGCTTAGTTGTGAGTGTTTTATATTATCTTATGTCGTATCTTTGATATTTTCAATAAAATTTTCTTTGTTTTCTAATCACATGCATCATAGCTAAATTTCTTGTATGCTCGTGTGATATAAAGCATGTGATTTTCTCGTTATTTTTTTCATGAGTTTTTCTCAAATCTTTTTTTGTACTTTTGAATTCCGCATGTTAATATGTTAACCCTTTAATCATCGTTTACTCATGATTTGACAAATTATGATGTTAAAACATATCGTGACCTAGAACTTTCTATCTTTAACAATTAAAAAAAGTAGATTAACACACAATAGTTTAGTTGAACGGACATGTTGCTATAAGAAATTTGGAACCTAAATATGAGACTAGAGGATTACTGAGAACTATTACATGGTTAAGTCTCATTAATATTAATAAGGTTTCAAACGCCTCTTATGACTTAGTCATTGACTTATGAGAACTATTTCCTAATTGTCAACAATCACGTGGAAAAAAAATCATAGGAAAAATATCAAAAAATTATTCCATACGGATAACATATGTAGAGATGCATGCGCTGTTCGATCTCGACCGTCGATCAAGTTTTTTTTTAAATTAAAAATTGGGCCACCAAAATACTCATTTACTCTGATCGACGGTTGAGATCAGATAGCACATGCATCTCTGCATACGCTGTTCGTATGAAATAATTTTTCCACAAAATCACGAGCCTTATCACTTCAATAAACATTAAAGATTTTAATTTTGTTTCTCGATTTATACATTAAGATTTTAGAATATTTTACATTCTACAAATCTAAGTCTTCAAATTGAACTTAATTGTGTAGCGAATTAAAACTAAAAATGTAAGAAAAGCTGACAAATCTTTTCTTGAGATTGATATTTGAATTTTAATTTTGTATATTCCTTATTTAAACAGAAACTACTTAACAATTAAAATAAATAAATAAAATAAATAATAAAACAATAAAAAAACACCAACAAGCCTTGGAATCTTTCGACTCTCCGGAACGCCTACGGCCGTCGTCTCTCCCTCGCCGGAAAGGAGAGTTTACTGAAAACAACTGACCTCCGTTTCTCTCACTCTATCTAAGATGGTGACTCACGCAGGTACTCATTCTGCAACCCTAAACCCATGCCGTTATCCTCATACAGCGAGAATCCACTTGTAAATCGGAGAAGATAACTCTAAACCCATCTCATTCTTTAAAAAATTGGCACGCCCTAGTTCTCAATGCTCGATTCTTCTCTTACGGGATAGGTTGTCGTCACTCCTCTGCCTCCGATGGCGGCGATATTGCTTTTGCTCCCTCTATTCTTCTTCGTGGGGGTTGGAGGAACTTTCATCAGATACAATACGACGGCAGGCGTCGTCGATGGAAAACTCAATGTTCACCTCGTTCCTCACACTCACGATGATGTTGGGTGGTTGAAGACAGTCGATCAGTACTACGTCGGCTCTAATAATAGCATACAGGTGAGTGGCAGTTTCTTGTTTTTTTTTTCACCCAAGTTTTGAACTTATTTGAGAGAATAGATTCTGTTGTTTTCTGTATATAGGATGCTTGTGTAAAAAATGTGCTGGACTCCTTGGTGGTGGCATTACTGAAAGATCCAAATAGGAAATTTGTTTATGCTGAACAGGTATACAGATGGTCTACTTCTATATCGCTTAAGTCTATGTATTTTTATAGTTTTCTAAGAGCTTGACATGGCTAATAATCTAAGCTATGTCTGGTTTATCTATTAGCTTAAGTTAGCTTAACCGCCCTGCTTTTCCTCAATCAGGGGACAAGCCAGGATATGCTAATTGCACCTCAAACCCTGCTAAAGCTTGCCTGGGTTAATTTTTTTATCCTTGCTACTTTTCTATTTTGGTCAGCTCATATCAACTTTTTTGTTAACTAATGAAACGGTTTAACTTAGGTCAGAGCTTAAGCTACGAAAACTTAAAGTCTTGTTTTACCAGTTTATTCTAGTTTAGCTTATATAATTTGACAACGAAACGGAGTCTTAAGAGGTGCATATAGCTTGACCCTACTTGCTAAAAAGCTTAGTGTTGAGTTGTTTATTCGGAATTGAGAGAAGAAAAGATGCTATTTCGGTGAAAAATAAGACAGGAAAAGAAAAGAAAAGATGCAATTTTTTTTCTTGGAAGATTTACATTCATACCACCCAATTCTTAAGTATTTGCATATCTAACTTGTAAACTTCAATTTTTGCATACATACCACCCTTCCTATGCAATGTGTTTTTCACGTTTTAAATGCTAAAATGGTGGTATTTTTTATTTGTTATAAAGATTTGGGTTGTATAAATTTAAAGATTAAATTTTAGGTGTTAGAAGTTAATCCATAGGAATTAAGTGGAATGTATATAAATGCCCCTTTCTTATTCTTTGTTTTGTAAGTTTTAGGAAAGAAATGAAGATTATTGATTTTATTCTTGATTGGTAGTTGAAAGAGGAAGGAAAATAAGTTAATTTGACATATACTTTTTTCAAGGATAAAGTTCTTCAAAATAATGTAGTTAATAGATTTGTAATTAAAATAAACTTTGTAATTAAAATTTACTATCATTTTTATTGCTATTGACATATTTTTTAGAATAACTAACATATTAATTTATTTTCATTGTCTAATTAGCCAACTTAAATGCTTTAATCCATTTTTTTAGCTAATTTTAATCATGATTTCCATGATTTGCATAAATGTATCACAACAATTATTGTTTATCATTTTGAATAAATTAAGAATTTATTTAAACATTAATTAATCCATAGGAAGAAAGGTGATATGCAATAAACTTTTGTTCTTTTGTTAAAAGAAGGTTAGTTTGTTTAATCATTAAAAGCTAACCCATATGAATTCCTTTCTCTCTAGGTTCTACTCATTTCGGGAGAGAAGCGAAATCCACGCTATACTGAAGTTAGCCAACAAAAATGGAAAAAAAAATTGTTACTGGAATCAAATAAGAAGTTACAATCAAGAAAAAAAAAATTGAAGTTGCAACAAATACGACACTAACTCTCATTAGGGTTGGATCAAGTGTGGTGGAGGTGGTTAGTGAGGTCTGGAAGGTGGTGGGATGGTGGACGAGGCGGTTGACAAGCAGAAAACAACAACGAAGCGGTTTCCCAGATTTTTGACTAGTACGTAACAGAGGTCGACGTGGAACAGTTGTCCTGAATGACGACAATAAGAGGAAGATGGAAGCTGCAAGGGTGGAGGGCTAGAACAATGACGACAACAAAGGTGGAGGGTTGGAACAACAGTGACATCAAAGATGGAGGATTGGGAAAATGATGGCAGCAAGGATGGTGGGTTAGAACAACATCAACAACGAAGATGGAGGAATGGAATGGTGAGAAGCTACAAGAAAATAACAACAGGCAGCTGTTTGGGGCAGCTGCAATGGGGAAGTGCGTTAGGGAGCGATGTGGGAAGGATGCAGGGATGCGTGATGGGGAGCATTGTGGGAACGGTGTGGAGGGGTAGAGGAGTGATAGTCACCACATCAGAAGCAAGATACAACTGGAACACCACTCAAACCCTTGGGTACAACTCGAGAAGGGAGAAATGGAGACGCGGACTGTTGTCCCAAACAATCTCAAGCAAAAAAAATTGAGAATCCAAAATCTAATACAACACATATATAAAAATGACTAGAAATGAAGGATAAAGGAAACATGCTAGAAATTGGAAAGAAAATAAGAGGAATGTTGTTCAGTTCAGTTCAGTTCTACCTCACTTGTCTAAACCATATACAACGCCTCACGGTCATGGGATCATGGGACCTCCTGCTCCTGCATCAGTCTATAAAGATTGGTGAAGTTTTGATCTCATATACCAAAGCTTCTAACTCTTCATGATATGACGTCAGGTCAACCAAGTTGAAGGAGGCGGAACAGTCATAATTTCTCAGGATTGAAGCGTCTTTGACCGCATCTCTAAAAGCACTGTGATCTAACTGTTGGATGCACTGTCTTATAAAACACCCTGAGGAGGCTTCCCGAAATTCGAGTAACCATTCTATTTGTCAACCAGCCATGAGTACCCAACTAAACTTGATTGGAAATTTGTGTTAATTATAATTTGCAGTTACTCCAAAAATAGCCCAAGATTGGCTCATCTCTCTCTGAAGTGAAGACAAACTTAACCTCCTATAACGTTGACGGCTATGACAATAAATTGTCGGCCATGATATCCTAAATCCCCCTTTGTAGTGGCTGCCCTGTATCTAATGTCGACACTGCTGTTTCGCTGCCCTCAGTAATCACAAAATTAGTCCCACTAGCTCCTTTTCGTTAACACAAGCACTTTTACCCTTGGACTCCTTAAAAGGTAGAACTACGCGCTTGCCATGCTTTGTGAGCGAGTATGTATTCGTCCTGTGATCAAACTGTCACGATCTCTTCAACAGAATGTGACAAACATCCATGGGCACAACGTCGCGCAATACCTGATCTTGTAGTTGGTTCCCAATGAAAAACTCCAAGCGACATCTCCTGTCAATGTTGACTCTGTCTGTCTTCTTCAACCAATTTAGGAAATAAGATTGAGAGTGGCTTTGAGTAGCGAGACTCAATTTATCCACAGCCTATATAGACATCACATTCTTACTACCTCCATCGCATGTTTTCCTTTACAGTGCAACAGATGATACACAAAAAATATATGTATTTTTAGACCCACAAATGAATAGAGACTAAAAATCTTAGACTTGACTGCTAGATATTCTTTTACCTGTAGTATTAATTGGAGTTATTTTGAATTTTTTCTTAAGTGATGCTATTTTATCTAGCAAACTAAGATATGTAAATCTAGAAGTTAAAATCTTGACCATAAGTCATATTTTTATGTAGTAAAAGAATTACTTGAGGACAAGTAACATTTAAGTTTGGGGGATTTTGATTCACAAAAAATATATGCATTTTTAGACCCATATTTTATACACATTTTTGGTGATATTACATTTTAATAAAAGGTATTTTTTATGTTTTCTTACAGGTTGTTGATTTTTGGGACTTGAAGCAAAAAAGAAGCAAAAAGAATGGAATTTGGAGCAAAAAATTATTCCGCGCTGACAGCATTGGACTGGGCGCCGACGGCTTCGTTTGACAGAGAAGAAAAAATTAATTAGATGGCCTAGGGAAGTTAAAAAATTTGTCCGCGCCGACGGCGCCAGACTGGGCGGCGATGGTGTCGTTTGATAGAGAAGAAAGAATTAAATAGTGGAGTAGTGGCACCGACGACGCCAGTGTCGTTGTAGACCTTGTTTCTAGAAGATTCGACGAATTTGAACGTTTTTTGAAGAGTTTTTGGATGCATCTATTGGAGAAGATGCTAGGATGGGCGTTGATGGCGCTTATGTCGGTGGAAGCCCTATGTCCAGAAGATTTGATGAATTTAGATGCTTTTTGAAGAGTTTTTGGCTGAACCTATTGAGAACCAACCTAGGCTCTATTTAGGGCCGAAATTTGATCAGAAACCCCCCTTCTCACCATTTTAACTTTTTGCACAATTTCAAATTCTTCCACTCATTTCAATTTTCCTTTTCACACACCTACATTCCACGCCATTTCACACCATTAGTGACTTATTATTTTTATAGTTTTGAGTTTTTGTGGTGAGTTTAAGCGTGAATTCTTCTCTAAGAAATGTTGGAGAGGAAGAGAAGTGAGAGATTTCTTCTTCCTACATTTCTTAAGAGAGGCTACAAAGGATTTGCTTTGAGTGTTTCCTAAGAGAGGCTACAAAAGATTTACTTTGAG